CTCTCTCTCTAGTCTTAAAAACCCAGAGTCTCATTCTTTCTTAAAGAAAATTCAATATCCCATGTGAATATTTTTTACTGCTTACAATAAGAAAACACTAATAAAATTCCAATGATCTGCATATACTTCAGTTATGCTTCAAATTTGGAATTTTTAAATAAGTCCATCCTATTCAAGAGTGAGGCTAACAAGGCTTCATAAGCTTAATTAAATCAGCACCCAAAACTTTCCTTCTTATCCACAATTAGGAATATGTGGGTCAAACAGTTACATTCCAAAGACATGTACATTTTATGAGTTCTTTCATTTTCTAGACCTTAATCTTCAAAAATATAGTCCATGCTGGGCACAGTGGCACATGCCTGTAATTCCAGGGACTCAGAAGGCTAAGGGAGAAGGACTATAAGTTCGAGGCCAGCCTCAACAACTTATATCAAAATAAAAAATAAAAGGGGCTGGGAATGCAGCTCAGTGGTAAAGTGCCCCTRGGTTTAATCCCCAGTATAAGAAAAAAATATATATATAGTCCATAATTAGAATAGCTAATACCAAGTTGGAATTATTAGGAAACCATTTTAAGAGATGATAGAGAATGAACATATGATCAAGGATACAGCACAATAATTTTCTGCCTTTTTAATTATAACTATGACCAAAAWCTCTGATTATAGCTCTTGAGTATATAGGCTGGGGGTGTAGCTCAGGGGTAGAGTGCTTGCCTGGGATATGTGAAGCCCTGGATTCCTTCCCAGCACTGCATTAAAAAAAAAAAAAAAGGACTTGAGGATTTTTTGTTATTTCCTCCTTGGAGCCCTAAATGGAGAACTTTAGATCAGCTCAGCTTAGAATGTATCTATATCTATATCCTCACCTCAGTTTTCATTACAAAACTCAATTGTAGGTGATTTTTTGCATTCTACTTAGACTGTTAGTTTGCTTTTAAGGTTGGGTCAAAGAATGCACTGCTGCATTTGTCCAAGGTCTTTTCCCACTGCTGTCAGAAAATCTGAATGCTATGGCTGAGAAAGGAGAAAAGTGCCTGGGTTCTCTATGAACAGTTTTCTCTGCTATACTTAATTTCTTTGTTTATTTTGAGAGGCTTCCTATAGATTTCTATGAGGCTTTCTGAGTACCTATCCTACACCAGCAATGCCAGATGCATCTTCTAAGACAGACACAAACTCTCCTAGAAAGTCATTTGTAAACTGTACTTTGCATACAAATCATCTGGGGATCTGATTTAACTGAAGAGTCTGASACAGTATGTTTGGGATGAGACCCAAGAGCTTGCATTTTTAGTAAATTCCCAGATGATGATCTGAAGAGCACACTCTGAGTAGTAAGGTTATAAAGAGCACTTTCAATTAACATTTAGGGTTTTGATAAAGAATTGTCTTTCCTTGCCCACACCCATATTCAAAGGCTTAATTGTACCTGAATGTACTCATCTGCAAAATCGGTGATACATCCAGGCTCAATGAATCTACAATTTACCACTTCCATTCCTTTCCACCCCCAATCCAACAGGTGAAGTAGGAAACACTCATTTATAATAATATACTTAATAATTTACTTAATAACATGAATGATGCTTCAATTTCTTTTTAAGTTGTTGTTGAACATGGAACCAAGTACCAAGCAATCACTTATTCTTTTTAAATAAAATTCATACTGATTTTGTTATTTTGGTCCTTAGAAGAAATATTTTAATATTCCTATACCAACTCTGGAAACAGAAGACACCAAAAGTGAGCTTTTTTGTCAAGTCTCCAAATATTTTTCACTGAAATTCTACTTGACTCTTGAAAATACCATATTCAAGTCTATCTAAAAACTCTTTCCCTCTAGTACAGCGTCTTGTTGTTGTTGTTTTGGTTTGGGAATCTAATCTTTCTCTATCCCTAARCTCTTTAATTTTAAAAAGTTTGGGGGGTGGAGGGTGGTAGAGCACTTGCCTAGYATGCACAAGGCCCTGTTCAATCCCCTGCACCAAAAAACAAAAAGACAATTCACAACTGAAAAATCTCCTGGTGCCCAGTAATTCTGAAACTCCTGAGATGAGTATCTTGGTCTTTCTTTAATTATCCCTATCACTTCCTGTCAAAGATAGATACACTTGGAATAACCAGGACAAGAAAAGTAGTTTACATTTTACCAGTGGCCATACAACAATCAAACCACAAAAGAGGCATAGATAATCTCATATGCAAGACATCCGTTTTCTACACCAAAATCTATGTATATATGTAAGTGTGTATTTGTAAAATGTATTCTCACTGAAATATTGTAGGGACATCCTAAAATAAATTTTAGTCATTTTGAAACTATAAACATGTACACAGTGGGTGTATGTATAATACATAATGCTTTAAATCTGAACATGCACAGATAYTTGTGGAAGTAAATTTACTGAAAAACTATGAAGACTATTTAATATCACTTTCAATTTTTTWAAAAAAWTATTTCTATGTGGAACCGATGTGAATCTGCAATATGTATTTGGGGTAAAAATGGGAGTTCATAATCTGCTTGAATCAAATGTACGAAATATGATATGTCAAGAGCTTTGTAATGTTTTGAACAACTAATAATAAAAAAAAAATTTCTAAAGTGCTTAAAACTATATTAATTATACAATAAATGTTTCAGGACTATGCTTCAGGTTATTGCCAGAATTGAGTGAAAATGCCAGGCCTTAAGGAGACTCCCATTTGGATAGGCTTTTTGCCTACTCCATGGTAAATTGTTTTCTTTTTTTAATACAATACCAACTGAAAAATAAATTTTTATTTGTATAGTAAGGCTAAGTTCCAGTTGCAATGTGTAAATTTTTAAAAGGTCACAAATGGAACTGACAAGAGAGCAAAATCATAAAATGCTAACTGCTACTGACTTAGAGAGTCATAATTATTACATAAGATAGCAAATGTATTTAAAACCTTCCATCTATAGAAATAATGTAATAATCTGAATTAAACATTATCTTGTAGTGGTTACATCAAAATTTCAGGTTAATAAACAAAAAAAAGCTAAAAACTATGTATTACATAAAAAAAGAAACTATAAATTGAAGTTGCCATTCTTAGAGAAAAATTCTGTTTTTCTTTCTTTCAGAGGCTATGTGGCCCCTCCCACTAGTTCTGTGTCCTGCCTGGTTATTTCTTGACGTTCTCTTTTCAACTGCATCCATCATGCATCTCTGTGCCATTTCAGTGGATCGTTACATAGCCATCAAAAAGCCAATCCAGGCCAATCAATATAACTCCAGAGCTACCGCGTTTATCAAGATTACAGTGGTGTGGTTAATTTCAATAGGTATGTGGGGAATACCAGGGTACGGGTGGCATATATGGCCTTTGGTTCCTTTCAGCTAGGAGAATGCCAGGTTTGGTAGGCCCAGAAACTCAGCATGAGAAGTCAAGGCAGACTACTGATGTCCCAACACAAGGTGCTTCTGTCGTTCCATTCATCATGTAGTGTCTAAACCGTACAGAAACTGAAGAAGTAGCAAAGTGTTCATCTCTTAATGATGTGCAGGAAGGCTGAGTCTTCATATTTGTCAACACGTCATTAAGACCTAGCTAGTAAAGGCATCCCATAATTTCATTTTTTGTTATCTTGATGTGATTATCTTATATCACATCTAAGAAGATGAATAGGAAAAGAGAAAAAAAACAACTCAAACATTTTACAAGCAGGTATCAGAGCATAAATTCATCTTAGAAGCCAACATTTCAATATATATATAGATTAGAGGCATCTAAATGTCTGTATTAGTGTCTTAAATGTTTCAAAGTTTTTAGATTAAAATAATGTTTACCTAATGTTCAGAAATGACTTGTAGAGAGAAGTCACATCTCTTCTAAACWATTATGATTCTGTGCTTATCTTTAATGCTTAAAGATAGCTCCTATAATGGACTATCTTGGCATGAAGTACAGCACTCAAAGCTCTTAAAGTTAATTAGAAAAACAAGCAGATTTGCAACAAACACAATGATCTGACCAGCGGACTCACCCTTCCTAGAAAAATATCTTAGAAGAGGGAAAAATTTAAAGAGACACAATACAAAAAGGAAGGTAAGAAAAAAAATACTTCTCTGTAATCAGAGTAAGAAATATGCAAAAAACCAATAAGTAAGACACTGAAATTGACCTACATATTCCTGAAATAATGGTACTAAAGCCAAATATCTTGAAAAATTTGCAGATAAAATCAAGGCATGCTACTGCTGTGGCATGGGAAGAAAGCAGGGTTAAGGAAAAGTCTATTCAGAACAGAGAGATTTGCAAGCAGCAAGAAAAGGCCAGTTTAAGGGGCAGAGGCTGATGGACAGAGCAGAACAGCAACTCTATATGACCCCCCTCCCCAAAAAAAAAGCTAGAGAAAGAGAAGGGGAGATAATGGGTGTTAAATAACAAACTTTGAAGTGTGTAGTCATTCATTTCAAATGACCTTAAAAAAAAAAAAAGCTCACTTCAATGAGTGAGGAGGAAAGAATGTGAGTGAGGTTGGTTTGTTGGGATAAAGGGGAGGAGGGAGTAAACAGAAGCAAAGGAAAAAGGGAAGCGGATCCTTAGTGAAGAATTAAAATATTTGACACTGAAATATGATCAAACCGGTGTGATAAACAACCTGTTGGTTAGAAATAGTAYCTAAATAAAGTCAGGATAATATGAAATTTATAAATTGATCAAATTTCAACTGAGTGTCTATAATATGCTATGTAATAAGAATACACAGAAATAGGAATCCCTACATTCAAGAAAAGCAGATACATAAACAAAATACAAAGTGATAAAGTATGAAGRAGAAAAAGGAAGACTCCAGGTTTATGGATTTAGAAAGGATGTTAGAACCTGTYTTCCTTTTATAGATACAAAAAGAGAAACCTAAAAATTTTAAATAGTTGGGTTAAGGATTTTTATAGCAGCAAGGCCAAGACCAATGCTCCTTTTGCTTCATCACCCTCTTCCTTATAGAACCAATCACAATTTAGTAACTGTAAAAAAAGAAAATAGGATGACAGGGTAAGTTCAGTTTCAAAATTCTACAAAGTGCTGAAGAGAGCTCACTTTCTTCTTTTGAATTTAYAGTTATCCTAGTGCTATGGGTTGAACATGTCTCCCAAAGTTCACTTGTTGGAAGTTTAATCTTAACAATGTTGAAGAGACATTGTTAAGGTCATTGTGAGGTCATGACGGCTCTGCCTTTATGAACCATTAAAGCCATTAAGGGAATGGGTTCATCCTATAAAGGATGAGTTTGGGCCTCTCTCTTGTTCTCTCTCTCCCCCATGTGATACCTTCCACCATGTTATGATGCAGCAAGAAGATCCTCATCAGAAGCAGTCCCTGGATCTTGGACTTCTTAATCTCCAGAACTGTGAGCCAAATAAACTTCTTTTCATTATAAATTATCCAGTCTGTGGCATTCTGTTATAACAGCATAAAATGAACTAAAACACCTAAGTAACACCTAGAAACAGTAAGTATAAAAGAGGGTAAGAGTATACAAAGTGCCAGTGAAAACTCAAAAGTTATTGATYAAGAAGCTGGACAGGAAGGTAATGTAAGCCTTGGTGGGGGTGCTACTGGAATGTGAAAAGAGAGTTTAGGCAGACTATTCACTAAGATAATGTAAAGAGAAGCTGTCCAGCAAGAAGCATAGAAGGATAAAAAGGAACAGATTGGAGCACATGATTTTTGATATGGGATTATTTCAAGAGAACTCCTGGATACCTRCAGGAGTACAAATAATAAGAGTCGAGTTCAAGATATAAAATTAAGTGTTAGAAGAGTGATCAATGGAATGAAGTCATGCAAGATGATGGCAAGAGAGCAAGAGAGAGGAAGACTACAGCAGGTACTAAAACCTTTGAGAGAGATGGACAAATGTCCTGGAGAGGCTACTCAATGACCAGGATGGAAAAAAGAGTGGTATAAATTGATTTAATAGACTTCAAAAGGGAAGTGTTTGGAGGGGAGAAGGAATACTAGAGTGACGACCCTGAAGCRACAGGGGAGAATAGGAGTCAGCAGACTTTTTCTTAAAAGGTCAAAAAAGTCTGTACCTTCAGGCATGCAGGTACCATGTGGTTTCTTTCATGGTTACTCTCTGGTCATACCACAAAAGCAGCCATAAACAATACGCTAATAAATGGGTATGGCTGTGTTCYAATAAAACTTTTACAAAAACACAATGTGAGCCAATTTTTAAAGCCACAGTAGGTTGACCCAAGATTCTGTACACTTATCCTATTCTAAGGAAATCTTCTTTCTGGTGGTGAACATGAGGAAAAGCAGGGACTGTAGCTGTATCCACTAGAAAGGRTTTGAAGAAAATATTCCTGTCAAGGGCTCGTTAGCTATCATTAAAATGGTATGCAGATAAYGAAGTGCTTTTGAATTCACACAACACAAGGCAAAAGATCAATTAATTCAGACATTTTAAAAAATATCTACTTCAAGGGGAAAGTATTTAGTCTAACCCTTGCACTATTAATTTTCCAATAAGCTAMTTCACTAAGAAACAGCACATTTAAATACTTACTTCTTGGTATTTAAAATATTAAGAAATTCACATGAGGTACCTTTTATTCATGTCTATTAGAAAAACTCTAAATCTTGAAATAAATTTCACAATTCACATTCTCTCAAATTAAGTACCATTTTTTAAAAAGAAAAGTTAAGTTTTCCATAAGAAGTTAAAAGGAAAGGATTAAAAGACAAAGATTAAACTTCCTGTTAAATGAACCTCAAAGATAATAAGTAAAATAGATACCTACTGAGAATTAAGATACTAAACAGCTAGCTGTCTGAAGGCTCTTTAGATTATCTATACTGAATATTAAAATAAAAGCAGTTTCTCTTCTGAATTTCTTTTCCTTAACCTGGGATAGATCAAAACTAAAAAATAGCTTATAAAAACACAGAACAAATAAAGACATTCCCTACTTTATCATGGACATATTATAGCTTTAGGGAAGCTCTCACTATAAACCTAATATCACTAACCAACCTCTTTGTTTAAAAATGGCAGACTTGCTTTTTTAGGTTCTKTCAAAAGTTCCACTGATACAATGCCTTGACAGATTCTACACTGTGCGTCCAGGAATTACAATGCACTAACCAGCATAAAGTTACTAGGATAAAACCTGAAGGGACCTAAATCTAAATGTTACAATTTATAAAATGACTCAATTTATCTCATTTCCTCTTCCATAGGCATTGCCATTCCAGTACCCATTAAAGGCATAGACACTGATTTGCATAACCCAAACAATATTACCTGTGAGCTGACTAAGGAACGATTTGGCAATTTCATGCTCTTTGGCTCAATGGCTGCCTTCTTCACACCTCTTGGGATCATGATTGTCACCTACTTTCTTACTATCCAAGCGTTACAGAGGAAAGCTTATTGGGTCAAAAACAAGCCACCTCAACGCCTAACATGGCTGACTGTGTCCACAGTTTTCCAAAGGGATGAAACACCTTGCTCATCACCTGAAAAGGTGGCAATGTTGTATGGTTCTCGTCAGGACAAGACTGTGCCCAACTCAAGTGAAGAAACACTTATGCGACGAATGTCTACAGTTGGAAAAAAGTCAGCACAAACAATTTCCAATGAACAAAGAGCTTCGAAGGTCCTTGGAATTGTGTTTTTCCTTTTTTTGCTCATGTGGTGTCCCTTTTTTATTACAAATATTACTTTAGCTTTGTGTGATTCCTGTAACCAAACTACTCTTAAAATGCTCCTGGAGATATTTGTATGGATCGGCTACATTTCTTCAGGGGTAAATCCTCTTGTCTACACCCTCTTCAATAAGACATTTCGGGATGCATTTGGCCGATACATCACCTGTAATTACAGGGCTACAAAGTCTATAAAAACTCTGCGAAAATGCTCTGGTAAGCTCTACTTCCAGAATGCAATGGCAGAGAACTCTAAATTTTTCAYGAAACATGGAATTCGAAATGGGATTAGTCCTGCCATGTACCAGAGCCCAGTGAGGCTCCGAAGTTCCACCATTCAGTCTTCATCAATCATTCTACTGGATACACTCCTCCTCACKGAAAATGAAGGTGACAAAACTGAAGAGCAAGTCAGTTATGTATAGCAGAACTGACAGAGTTTTCACCTGACATAATGACAAGCAAGGTGATGAACAAGATGTAAGTTCACCAAGAATTAGATAACGAAGAATTTTATGTCATATATTAAATCAATTCTTTGAACTAAGAATTAAGTATTAAGATTATCTAATTTTCCTTATTTGGGCAAAATTATTCCATTAAAAAATAATCCTGTATAGCTACAAATGAAAATAATCCAGCACTCTGGTTAAATGTGGTTTTCAAAGGAAATAAAATTAAATAAGTCAATAAAGTTCAGGCTTTAAAAAAAGTGTCAATTTAACATTTTATTTGGTTCCTAAGAGTAAGCAAAGTTGTGCTAAGAATGAAATAGAACAAACAAACACAGCCTTGCCTTCAAGGTCTTAAAGCAAAAGCCAACAGGAACAAGAGCTAAAGATAAGTATATAAAATGATGATCCTATCTGTTAAATCACTGTAGTATGCATCTAATCAGAACTGGGTCAACTGGAAGAGGAGGAGAAAGCAAATTAAAGTGGCCTTGAGTATCTGAATCACGTTATGCTTCTTAAAAGTATTAATGAACACACACAAAYTGGAAGCATGGAATCTCAATCTGGAGACTTAACAGTAAGTGAGCTTATAAAACTGAGATCACTGTGCCTGTGTTTGCCCAATGATGCAGTTGAACTTCTGGCCCAAAATCTTTTCATTAATCCTTTCCAGGCCMCTTACTGAATAGCAGATTTAATTTAGAAATGATATTAATTTATTTGAGTCTCAGTTTTYTCATCTACATTTTGTGCAGTACTCAGGAGGATAAGATGAATAAATAGTAGACACTCAGTAAATGGCAGCCAATTCAATCTATTTACTTTTCTTTATGCTACCTATAAATGGTAAACAAATTTAGGCTGAGTAGATCAACAGTGAAAACAGTCCTTGCCTTAGCTTTTCCATTTAAAGCTGATCCATACTTACACCTCAGCCCACAGCTCCATCATTTACTCAGTTTAGGATAATGACTTCAAGAAACGTGTTGACCATGGAGAACCTCAGCATTAGTCAACCAGGCATATATTGTCCCAGTGATAGAATCCTTTCCTAGAACATGAATCTAATACACAGATCTTGATCTGTTACCTTTACTTATGGGCCCTATTTCATCTGCTAAGAAAAGTACATCTTACAAATTTAGTTCTTAAATCAAAGCTTTCAGCACTGTTCCCTATTTGTTTAAGATTTTTCAGCAATATTAAAGGTAGGTTACCTAAGATAAGAAGCAAAAAACTTTACATTCCTAAAAAACAAAACAAAACAGAAAAACACAAAACTAAGTTAATGAAATCATTCTAGTCTTGCCAGAATATTCCACAAAATGAAATACAACTCCAATATCAACTATTTCTGAAAAAAGTACATTATAATTTCAAATTTTTACCACTTTGATACATATCTCGTCTTTCCATCTTACTGGATACCTTATAAAGAAATCTATAATTTGAAAGCAAATGCAACAATTAAACATCCCTAAGGTAACAAAGAGATTATATCTCATAATCTTACTTTCAAAGGGAAACAGGTTACAGCTGTCTAGAATAATTTTGAAAAAAAGCTCTCATTCTATTCCGAATTACTGTCAGTTAAAGGAGAGGGGAAAACAAAGGTATAGGAAAAAGACAAAAAAAAAGAAAGAAAAGTTGAAGCATCCAGAATGTAAATACAAAGATACTGAAGCAGGAAAGAACGTGGTGAATATGTATCAAATTTATATAAAACTGTGAATAAAAGGGCTGAGGATGTTACTCAGTGGTAGAACCTAGCATGATTGAACCTAGCATGATTGAACCCAAGGCCCTATGCCTAGCATCCATGGGGCCTTGGGTTCAATCACTAACACGGCAAATTAAAAAAACTGAGAATGGGAATATTGTAAAGATGAATCCTGCATTCAGTGCAAGTGGCTGATTGCTAAAGTTGCTTCAAATTATAAGGGACAAGATGATGCAAAATGTTTATATTTAAGGAATCTGTGTGGTCTAAAAAAATTTCTGCACCAAGAATCTCTTACTCATCTTGCAAGATCTATTTATATCTCAAAGCATATAAATATATACATTGAGAAATAATTAATTTCAAATTATAACAGACTAAATAATAACAAGGGACTTTCAACATTAATTTTAAGAAATGTCCATTTCAGATTATCAACTTGTTCACCGATATAGCAACTTAATAAGTACATAAAGACCAGTGTTACTTTTGATTTCTGTCTTCATTTTCCTTTCCAATGTTCAGTTAAAATAATTTAGACTTCATTCATTTCCAAATGAGGTTCAGTTAATGCTAAGCACAATATTGTACAAAGAGTTACTATAATAAAAAAAAGTGCTGACCAGACTGATAATAATGGGGCCAATCACTTACATATTAGGTGTTCACTTAAGATCATTTATTTTGATAAAAATTACACTCATTTTAACTTAACAAGAACAGGTCTGTTTTTTACTTCTATCATAATCATCATGAATGAATAATAATACACAACTACAGAAACAGAGAAAATACTGCAACCCCATGGACTGTCTTATGAATAAAGGAGACATGAGAATTTTACACAAAGAAAAAATTTCATCATAGTTTAATGAAGCATGAATAAAATGTTTACTAAGAAGTTTTCAGTATTGCTAGCCAATAAACATATCTGAAAGAAGTCCAAAAAATATTAAGGTAAAATCCTTAAAACATGGTACAAGGCCAAATGTCTGAAAAGTCATTTTCAAAAGTGATAACGGGGAATAAAAGATAGAATAAAAGACAAAAAATAAAAGATAAAAACCAAAGAAAGTAAATGATGGCACATCAAAAAACATGTAATAGCCTTAGAAGATAGGAYAGACAATTCCCAAATGTTGAAGTTAATGAAGAAATTTGAGAATAAAAATGTTCTATCAGAGGAAGACAGAACTCTGCCTGAAAGGCACAGTGGACAAAACCCAGATCTACCATGAAACTATTCAGAATCTCRGTTCTATCATTAGTCCATGATAATGGAAACTATTTTGGAATTCAACTTCCTTATGCTTTTAAAAAAAGCAGAATATTTATTAATTTTTAAGTTTCTTCCATCTTTAAAAGTCTTTACTCTTAGGAAAATGGTACTAAACTACAATTTAAAGAACTTGATTTTAGCTCCAGTCCTTAAATTGTTGAATATATTTACTTTTCTTCATCTTTAAGTTTTAGACAAGATCATCTTTAAATCATTTCCAATTCCTACTTCTTGAGAGTGAGTTTGGGAATCTAGCAGGGGAATGTAGYTACTCATATACCCTTGACTCATGAATGAGGACCCATTCCATGGGGAAAGCTGTCCTCTTTGACAGCATGCAGCTTTGGGAGRAATGCATAAGGAGCTGTGCGGGAGGAAGGGAACACCCATGTCATCAGCCAGATCAGCCAGATCTACCCTGGTGATCAATGGGGTGACAGATGTCATAGCTAGAATGGCCTCACATCTCCTAGCCCCTATTTCTTAAAGAACCATATTATGAAAAGATAACTCAGAAAGGTCCCTTCAAAGTAGCACATTAATTAACAATTCATCAGCTGGATCTCACTATCCTAGTACTTAGTAGAAAGTGTGGCAAAGCCTAAGAACAGCTCAAACAGCTCATAGGAGACATCTGCTGTCGAAACTGGGAATTCAGTACATGTGTGAGCTACAGGAAATAAAAGAGCAGAAATAAATTTTGA